TGAGGCCCTGGGTTCGATTCCTCAGCACCACATAAGCAAAAAGAAAAAAGCCAGAAGTGACGCTGTGGCTCAAGTGGTAGAGCGCTAGCCTTGAGCTGAAGAGCTGAGGGACAGCACCCAGGCCCAGAGTTCAGGCCCCACGACCAGACCCCCCCTCCAAAAAAAGCTCATTTCCCAAAAGACTACAAGCTTCTAGAGCCAGCAGCATCTACATCATATGTCAGAGTCAGCTTATAGAAAGAAGGACAGTAGGTCACTCTTTACTGAATAAAATGTAGCAATTTAAAATACATTGTCAATAAAAGGCTAATAGGAGATAGCCTAAATAGTCTAAATAGTCAACTAAATAGTCACTTGATGTCCTTCTAATTTTATTCTTTCACAGATAATTCTTTAAGTTATTTGTAATTCCTTTGAATTTACCTTTATATTTGGAGTGTAGAGATTTCGTAAAGATGCCAATGCCATAGAAAGACCTTCTGTGCTATAGGAGATCCAGAGACCTTGGAGAATGGAAGATGATACACCAACTTTTTTACTCAAACCCTGAAAAAGGAGTGCAAAACAATTAAATTTTTAGCTTAACTAAAAAGTATCATCAGTAGTAAGTTGATGGCATCTATATTTTTGATACCAATGCATTAGAGCATATCTTCTTATCTTCTTGCCAGCAAAGCCCATCCACTGATGGGGACAAATACTAATAATTTAGGACAAGGTAACTTAAATTGTCTCTAACATTTTTTGGATCTTTACATCTTAATGAATCCATCTAACATCTTTCTTTTCTGCTATATTGCTTTTCTGTACCTTTTAGTCTCCTTGAATACGTTCAAGTAAATTCAAGTAAATATACACTGTAGCAAAGGTAATGTGGTGTGACTGCTGATCATTATTTCATTTTTTTCCTAAGCATTTGGAAAAATTACATTTCTTAGTTTCCTTTATTTAAATGGGTAATATGAATTCTGGTTGATAAAATTTGGATACAAGTAATACATTGCCCTCCCAAAGCTCTTATGTATTTCCATAGTCTGTTCCTCCTTCCTTTCTTTCATTCATTTCTTCCTCCTTCCCTCTTCTCTATGTTCTCTTTGTCTTTTTGAGATAGGGTCCTTTCTTTTAAACATTATTTTAAATAGATGTATGGGGGCATTCAACTTAACATGTCCATTTATGTGAATAATGCATCTTGATTAGAGTTCCCCTTCTAGCAATTCTCCCTCTCTCCATCTATTCATTTTCCTACTGGGTGCATTGTTTCCTAGTTCCACTTTCTGTATGTACATTGAATCTTGTGATTGTATTCATATGCCACTCACCTTTCCATTCAGTCCCACCTTCCATTAGCCTCCATGTCTCCAACCCCTAGTTAAGACATGTTACCGCTTCTTCCTGATACTCATTTTGTTAAACTGTTTATTGTTCAGTAAGGAAATACCCTCATTCTTGAATATACTTTAGTCAGTTTGATTGTTTCTGTATATATATGATCCTGTTTTATGATTCATGTTTTAGGTCAAAGTTCTACATATGAAAGAAAACATGTACCTTTCTATGTAGCCTAGGGTGGGCTCAAACTTGAGATGCCCTTCTGATTTTATTAGAAGATTAAGGTGTATGTAACACACCTGACTCTGTGCATTTTGTTTTTCTTGATTGTAGGTCAGATGCAGAAGTACTAATGGATTCTGAGGTCCAAGATGATTTCAGAACACTATATAGAAGTTACTTTCCTAGTAATCTGCAGCAGATTGCAGTAAAAGCAGGAAATAAATCTTCATTATGTTAAGCCATTGAGACTTTGCAGGTTTGTTATAGCAGCTAGAATTCTTCACCCTGCTTAATAGCCCTAAAACAATCATATCTAATCATCCTTAGGAATAAAAACAAAATAAACCTGATTTTCCATCAGTAACAAAACTTCTCTTAGTAGAACTGGCACAGGTCTCATTGCTAGTGGTTAAAAAGCCCTTTCACATGAACTTTTTCAAAGGAAATTAGAATAATTTGCCATTTAAATTGCCTGATGGCCAGTAGACACTCTTCAGTAATCTTCTGCCAAAATCGGAGTTGAGAGAGTTAAAACAGAAAATCTTGAGGGTAGGAAGTATTAACAGCAAAGTTTGAGACTTAAGTAGATCTGGGAAGGTATAGCTGCTTGCTTTGTTCCTTGGAATGAAGAATATTTTTGCCTGCAATACACCTATGTATATCCAAATCAGCAAGAAATACTTATTTATGAGTTGTCTAATAGAAACTCAAGTCATGTCCTTTCTACAAATGGCCTAAGATCCCTAAGTAAATTAAGAAAAGATTTCCTCCCAAATTTATCAAAGAAACACTGCTTTCCCTCAAATCCCATATAGATCCAAAGACATTAATTGTTGGGGATTTTAACACACCACTCTCCCCACTAGATAGATCAACTCGGCAAAAACTCAACAGAGAAACCGCAGATCTAAACAGCTGCATAGATCAACTAGACTTAACAGACAT